TGTGTGTTTTTAAATTATGTATTGTTATGTATCGTTTTTATTTTTTATTTTTTGTCTGTACCCCCCCCCCCCCTTCCCTGATTTGTTTTGTTAGCCGCCCTGAGTCCCCTTCGGGGGAAAAGGGCGGCATATAAATATAATAATAAATGATGATGAAGTGATCTGGGTTTCTTCTTCTCTGATTGCTGTCTTTTGTTCCTTGTCCTTATATCTAGTATTATATTGATTTATTCCTTTTAATGTTGTTCACTTGTGAATCATCCAAGGTTGCTGGGAGTCGGGGAGCATACAGATTTGCATAAAATAATAGGGATCGCTTAGCCTGAGATGCTGGAGATGGCTGGGAAAAAACCTCCACAGTCCTTAAGAGCAAGCTGATCCTATATCAAAAGTCTGACTAAATTGTAAGGTGTTTTTTTTTAATGAATGAGTGTTGACAGACATCTGACCACATAATATCTCCTCCTACGTCCCGGACCTTGTCCATCCCTGATCCGACAACTGTTCCTTTCATTGGATGACAATCACAGGGGCAGGTGCTGCTTCTCCCTGTGTCAGGCAGAGGATGTGATCTGCTTCTCTCTTTGACAGCCGCTATGTGACATGGCCAGACTCTGAGGACGAACAGAGTGAGGAGGAGGAAGAGGAGGAGGAGGAAGAGGAAGAGGAGGAAGAAGAGGATCTCTACAATAAGAGATCCAATGGACTGAGTGAAGGTGAGGAAAGCTGGTGAGACAACAAGAGTGTTGAATAGGAAGGGAGGGGGGGAAAAGAGACCTTCATGCTAATTCACACCTGCTTTCTTTGCCTGTAATTTGCAGGGGAGGATGAGGAGGAAGATGAGGAAACAACAGCGGAAGGCTTTGCCAATCAGGACCCTAGCTCAGGGACCCCTTCAGACACTTCAGTGGGGGAGGAAGGGGCTAGTGGGGAGGAGAGGCGGAGCCCCAACACATCTCCCCCACAGCGTCCCCAGTCTCCCCGTGTGCCATCTTTCAGTCCCAGTCCTCCTACAGCCAACCAGGCGAAGCGTAAATGCTGTCTGCCCCAGAAGCGGCCAAAATTGCTTTTTACACTACAGCCCGTCAGTTCTAATGGCACCAGTGACTGGCTGGCCGGCCAAGAAGAGAGCAATCCTGTCTCCTTCAACTGTAAGTCCCTCCGGTAGAATAACTTCAAGTTTGTGGTAACAAAGCTTTCCGCTAAGAAAATGTTTGGTGGTGGTGGTGGTGGCAGCGCTGGGGAAGTCTGAGGGTTGGTGGCCAGATTGGGAATGATGAGGAAACATCATTGGCACGGTCACAAAAGGCTTGCTGAGGGAAGCCTGCAATGGTGGCTGTGATGGAAAGGCTAAAAGAGTCTTCTCCTTGTGAGCCTCAATACATGATAGAAGTCAGGACAGAAACCCCAAATACTGACTCCTTTGCAGCTGTGGGCTTTGTTGATGCTATACAAGGCAGACCTATTTCTGTTATTGCAGTTTCTCTCCATGCTCAGCTTTCCCTGTCTCTAATAGCTTCCCTTCCTATCACACTTATTATGTCCCTTTAGATCAGACGTGTTCTGACCCCCCTCGTAGCACACCAACAGACACTCTGAGCCAAATATAAGTTACGGCATTTAATTAACAGACAGACAGGTCCTTGGCAGCAAACCGGCACAGACAGGATTGGGCAGCAATCC